CGGGCTGGGCCATGTGTTGCACGTGGTGTTACAGTATTTCGCTGGGCCGTTTGGGCCGTGAGAGCTGTGGGCAGCACCAGCTGACTCTACGAGCCTTCATTGAGACCATCAATATGATTTTTTCCTTTTTTTTTTTTTTTTTTTGATGATGATATCCATAGACGTATTTTAATGGATCCATGAATAGAAGAGCTGGTTCCATAAACTCAGTGCTAAACTAGAAATTCTCGACCTAGAGAGTAGAACAACGTCTCCTAGGTACGCTAGGCCGCCAAAGACGGTCCGGGTCAATCGTGTCGTCCGTTTCGATGCATACCGAATCTTAAATCAACACAAGCTAAACCCTATGGTCTGACAGGCCTATTTTGTCTAGCTAATCCGATGATTGTCCTCAATGGACTCGGAGCGTTAAAATGAAGAAGAAGCACCCATGATGCTGTGCAGTCGCGGAAACAGGGCCCGTTCGCCGTCGACAGGGCCTAGCGGCCTCGCGAGCGATATTGAAGGGCAACGCCACCCGTTCCTCGAATCTTTGCGTTCTAGCCACTTGGGGGCTTACCGCGGGAATCGTGCATCAACGTCTCTCTCCAAAAAGGAAAATGCAGCTTCTAATACACTCGACGCCAGCCTTTGCTTACAACCCTGGTAGCGCCACCGAGGCGAAGGCCCCCCTTCTTTGAGAGAGGCTAGGAATGGTGCAGGTGCCCGGCGTTCGGCCTGTTGGTGAACCCGGGGCTCAAGCGGGCTTCGAAGCCGTGAACCCTCTCATGCACCGAGAAAAATAAGCGGAGGAAGGCCTTCATCTTGTTGGCTCATGCACTCCTTCCAGTACTTGCGTCTCATTTGTCTGCGCGATAGCTCCCATCAGCTCGAGAGGCGCATTCGACGCGGAGAAAAAAAGCGTCGAATGAAAATCTGTCTTCAGAGCCTCGAAACTAGCCCGAGCACTCACACTTCTTCAACAGCCAGTCGCGCACCATCGACCGAATAGATGGGATCAATTCAATCCATCCGTCTGGTGCCCCTCGTCCTCTCGTTCCCCATGCCTCTCAGCCCACTTGATCCTACCATCTATTTACGGCACCGCGACCAAGGCAAGGGAGGGTCTCGAAGCGAGGATTTTAATTAATTACATACCTTAATAAAAATGGGAAAGATATCCCACCTGATGGGGCGGTGGGGAGGGGTGTTGGAGCGGACGGACAAGGACACAGAAGGAGAACTGGCGTCATGCCGGTTGGCGAGATTGAGCCCTTGCTCGTTGGAGCTGGTCGCTTTCCATGGAATTGTTCGACAGAGGCTTCTGTGGGGCATTTTCCCTTCCATCGGCCACTGTCTAATTTTACCTACAGATTGATTGAGATAGACCGACGGAGGGGGTGTGGGTCAGTCGCATAACAAACTCGATCCTTTTTGGAAATTAGGGTGTCTCTTCTACCTCACGCTCTCTCTTTTCCGCCTTCTTTCTCACTGAGAGATGAAAGACAGTGCCTTCTTTTTGGCGAGTCCGGTGCTCGTTTCTCTCTTTCCCCGTGCCTTCCTCTCTCTTTCTCTCACCTTTCCCGGGCAATGGCTCGATTTTTGGTAAATTCCCCTGGGACCTGCGTGCTGCCCATGATTCCCGGGCCTTCGCTTCCATTCAACGACAGCGCACGATTTCTCGCTTCCCCCACTAGCTGATGGAAAGACTGATCAACTTCTCTCCCGAGAAGTCGTCCCCCTTGTAACCCTCCCCGGCTTCTTCCCCTCGAAGTGACCACAGTGCCCGTGCCTGGGTGTCCCTTCCCCTCCCTTAGCTGCCGACTTGCAACGCTCTGCCCCGGGCCTACTGCCAAGGTAAGGTGGCATCCGGCCTGGCCTTGACCAAGGCCGGCAAGTGTACAGGGCCCTTTTGGTCCTTCCCCTTCCTTTCCTTTCCTCTTTCGCCCTACATCTCGGCTCTTTTCCAGTCATGGACAGGGAAGAAGCCTCCAAAATGATGACGTTCAATCCATGTTCCTGCCGTATCCATGCTGAATTCCTCCCCTCCTCTTTCCCTTCTCTTCTCGTTCGCCGCCCTACACGCCCCCTCCCACCCCACATGGCGCGTCCTCAAAGCGAAGGGTTCGGAGAAAGAGCTGAAAGGGACTTTATAAGAAAGAAAGGGGAGATCGAAGGGAAATTGAAAAAAGTGATAGAAAGAGAGACTGAGAGAGGGAGAGGGTGGGAGGGAAGAAAAAGAAACGATTTCTGTTTGATGTATGACTTATTTCGCTCAGTTGACTCGTCCATTGGATCCGTGTGCGTTTCGATAGAGAAAGCCTATTAAGGAAAGACGGATCTGCTAAGACGTCCATCTACCCTTCCCTCCTAGATCCTTTCCGCCAACGGCGGGTCAGACTGGCCCTTTGCTCGCCTTTATCCCCGGCCACCCCTTGCACATAGCCGGGCCCAGGTAGAGTGAGTCTTGTTCTGAATACGACTATCCGTAAGCGCGGAGAGAATAATGAAGAAGCTGAAAACACAGAATAGGTAGTAAAAAGGAAGCCACGAGATCCATGATGCCCTGGACGTAAGTCTTATAGAATTTATTGCTAGGATAGGCATCCCTGTCCGGCCTTTTTCCCTACAACCCCCCTCTTCTCGAGGGGCGCTCGGGAGCTCCGGTCTGTGTTTCTCCCCATGGAACGGACAACGAGAGGAGTTTCTCCGATTTCACACAGGGGGCAGGGGATGGAGAGGTGAATCGTAATACACACACGCGGAAGTAGGGAAGCCTAGAGACTACCCTACCCATAAGGCAGGTTTGAACAAGGGGATACCCCTTCCCTTCCCCTCCAGCTCACACAGAGAACCTTGTAAGCGGCCTTTGGAACGTTTCTTGTTTAGACAGTGTCAAAGAGAGGAAATATGCCCAAGTCCACCCGAGAAACTCGGTGGGCAGGAGGCATCCACTTTTGAGGGAAAAACAAGGCAACTCGTAACTAGTAGGAAACTATCGACCGATCACTGACTCCTCATCCTTGGCCATCCATTCGATCCAACGCCAGACGCCCTATAATACTCTAATTATTTTACCATTCGCCCTCCCTCTTCTTCGTTTGCCCCTCGTAGGATTGGCTGGGCTTCTTGATGTACATTCGAGTTCGAAAATAGGTAACCATTTTTTTATTCGGGTTCCTTTCTTGTCCCGCCGCTTCTGGTCCTTGTGCTTTTCCGCGCCGGCCACTTGTCCGCCATCCCACCAATCTACCCATGTGCGACCTTTGCCGCCACCGGGAAGCCGTTCTAGGAAAGATGCCAACACGGCGCGGCCGGCGGAGGGAGAGGATGAGGAGGGGGCGACCACCTAACTTCGAACACTGACCAGTGGGGATGGTTGGAGAATGGACCCAGAAACCAAGGTTCTCGTGACGCGTTAAGTGGTTTATCTTTTTCTCTTTTGTCTTTTGACTTCCGCTTGTGCTATAGCCCCCACACCACCTATTGTTCTGCACTCCTCGCCATTTCAGCACCCAACGAGGGAGCAAAGGAGAGGGACAGAAGCTAAAGGAAGGGAAAGGAAAGAAATACAGGGACGGGGAGAGAAAGAAGCCTGCGGGGATTCTCAAACAGCAATATGTCTTTGTTGTATTTCGTTCCTGTCGCCTTTGTTTTCTTTTTGATAGTGGCTGCCACGAGCGACCTCGGCTTTGAATGGGCTGGGTTCGGGAGCTGGTTGAGTTTGACATGGGGCCGCCTCCTCGGATCGTCGGCCAGGAAGGAACCCAGTCGAGATCCTCGCTGTGCCTTTAGACTATGTTGATATTCAGCACACTCGGTGTTCAGCACGCTTATCACCTCCCCACTTCTCTGCTTCAGTGGCAAGAAGGTTCGTTGTGAAGGCCGTAGCTCGCAGAGGGGAGTCTCTAGCTCCTCGAGATTTCACTGCTTGTCAGGTGAGATAGGGGAACTGGATACTGCTGGTACTACAGTAGCTTAGTTACGGCCCAAACCTTGGGAACTTTTCCTCCGTGATGGCCCAGCTCGCGTTCACCTCTTCGGCCTCCGTAGTCTGTCTCTACGCGTCACGCGGTGGGGGTGAAGCAAAAGGACACCTCCAAAAGGTCCATACATGTGGAGAGAAAAGGTGGGAAAGCTGGACGAATCATGAACCACATTATCCTAGTATCCATATTGACGTTTCTCTCTTTCTACTACTCTATAAAGGCAAAAAGGGACACGAGCCCGTGCTATATTATCACCGCATCCATGGATGAACACAAAGGAAAATAAAAGATTTTTTTCCCGGGAGAGAGAGAGGCGCGGGAAAGCGAGGGAACAGCTCGTACTACGAGGTTTCCATTAGGAGAGACAAGAACGGGTTCGCTTCGTATTGTATATATCCCTCCCCCTTGACCTGGACAAACTTTGTCTTCATTCCTGGATCGCGAAGCCGGCTGAATGGGCACGGCGGATGGACAAGGCCAGAGGAGATCGAGGCGTGTGAGTCGCTGTTGGAGGGAGTGAGGGAGTGGGGAGTGGATAAAGGCCTCGATGAGGGTTTGCGCCAAAAGTTCCGCCGTGACACGCATCAGAGGAGATGTAATCGAGGACGAGGACCAACCAGTTGGAGAGAAGTGCCGTCATGGACTGCAGTAGGAGGGTACGGAGTCCATCTCTCCCACCCCTCCCCTCTCTCTCTCTCTCTCGCTTTCAGCCACTCGGTGTCTTTTCAGATCCCCGTCTCCGAACCTTGGAGCCACGCCAGGCACGTGGGGATGTCTCCCTCTCTCGGTTCAGCCAGCGATGAGTCCCCTGACGAACTGCCGTCGCCGTTTCCCGGGGATCCGAAGCCAAGGCTTCGAAAACGGGGAAGAGGGAAGGAAAAAAAAAAAGGACCCCGAGAAAACAAAAAAGGTTAATAGTGGAAAGCCGGGAGGTTCCTGGCCTCGCCCGCCCCCTCTCTCTCTCCTCCCTTTATCCACCGCCGACCTTGCTCCTCCTCCTCCTAGAACGGGCGCGTTTAGCACCTGGAAAGTCTAGCCCTTGTTGATGCGTCGCCATACCTCGCCCTCCGCCTCAGCCAAGCGTCCACCCGCTGCTTGCGCCCATCTCTTCGCCGCACCCCACACGCCATCGTCGTCTTCGCCGTCTCCAGCACCGGTGGCGTGGTGGCCGCCTCCGCCGCCGTTGTAGGCACCGGCGTACGGGGATGGGTGCGCGGACGGTCCCGGGGGTTGTACCCTAGCGGATGGTAGCCCTGGCTGGGTGCGCCGTCTAGAGTTGTCGGGCGGGGCCCTTGGGGCAGCGCGGCGGTCGTGGTGGACGAGCCGCCCTGCGCCGCGTATGACTGGGTCGGCGGGGAATGGCCATCTGCGGCGGCATGGTAGTGGCGGGTGCCGTCGTGAGGCTGGCGCTATTGAATGACTCTCCGGCCCGGGGCGGAGGGGGCAATGCCGAGGTCCTGCCCGGTGGCACGGGGACAGCGCCGGGCTGGGGCGGGGGCGGACTGCTGTTGCTGTCAAAGGCCGCGGTCGTGGTGGCGGGGGCGTACTTGGACGTGGTCCGCGTGGGTGTAGGCGAGGGTGCTGAGGTAGGTTGGGGTGGCCTGGCTCCCGGCTGCGGCGCGGGATAGCCCGAGGTGCCGGTGGGAGGCGCGGCCTGGGTCGTGGTGGCCGGGGCGTAGGGCGACGCCTGCTCGGCAGGCGCGGCGGTCTTGGGGTCACCCCATCGGGCTTGGAGGCGCTGACGGGGCTTGCCGAGTAGATTGGGATGGGCGGCATGGTGTTCTTGTTCCTTCTTTTTCAAAGGGAGCTTTAGGATTAGGTAGTGAGGGGACGACGTCAGATTGGTATTCACACGGGGTCAGTAGCGCGGCTCGCGAGAGGGCAGATATACGATCTCGCGGACTAGGTAGAGTTGACTCCGGAGTGCGGATCTTTGGATTGGGGAGTGCTCAGCGGGCCCTTTTTGTGAATGCGCCGTGTAAATGGATGAGGTGTCGGGGGATCCGGAGAGTCCGACGAGACAAGATTGGAGCTGCGCGGATATACTATGCAGAGGCTGGTGCTGTTACGTAGGAAGAAAATGGAAAAGAAGGAAAGCAGTAGAATTGTATGAGGCTGGTAAGAGGAGATATTGGAGTGGGAGTCACAGCGACAAAGGAAGGTTTCGTTTCAAGGGGGACCGAAGGGCGCATCTTGAGCCGTTGATGGCCTTCTCTGTTCATGACGTCAAGCGATTGGCTGCGCGGGCTCAGGCAGCCGAATTCACAGTCAATGAATTCGTCTGGTTTCAGTCGACACCAGCTGTGACAAACACCCAGGGGCGAGCTGGTGCACACTTGGCAGACCTTTCCTAATGCGGACTAGCCTTTCCGCGGCCCAGGAGGTTTTTTGGTCGGTCAGACAAGACAGTCAACAAGGCGAGCTTTTTGAGGTCGGGAGCCTTCTCTCGCACTATCTCACTGGCGTCCAAATTCTGTGGTGTATTATTGGGCGGTTTTATTAGGTGGTTCTGAATCGACTCGCTCCAACAAGGCCGTAGAAGCGACGACATTCCTGCTGGACAAGGCCACCAGTCAGCCAGGAGCGTTCTCTTTTTCTTTTTTTTTTTTCTATCTTCAGAGCCAACCCCCACGGGCCCAAACAAAACATAATTTACGTGTATCGAAGCCTTTGGTCAACTCAACCTTTTTATTTTCTCGGAACACCCTTTTCCTTCCTTTTTACTCGTTGCTTCCGACTTTAGAACCTCCCCTGGATTCATTGACCCGAATCACCACCTCAATGTCCACCTAGTGGTGTTTGTCCGAAATAGTTCATCCCCTTGCAGCCGCCCCCTTCGAGTCGAATCGCCAGGATGGTGGGCAAGGTCAGCGAAAGAGTCCTCCTGCGGGAAGGTAGGTCTTATAGCGTTCTCTTCGGTCGCATCGCCGTCGCGAGGTCCACCCCAAGCTTCGGAGGGGATTATGTTGGGACGGCCGCGTGGCTCGCCCGCTCCTATCCTGCGCGCCACTGACCTGTTGCTGACGATTGCTTTTCTTGCTTGCAGGCCTCGAGAGGACAGACAATGGCATGAAGCAGACGAGTTGGCCCGATGTCATTCCGATTAACCAAAAGAACTACTACACGTATGCGATACTAGCGGCCCCTCCTTCCACCTACCTTTTGCCCACCCCTCCTTCCTCCCTCTCCTCGTCTCTATCGTCGTCCTTCCTTGCTATCTCGCGACACCCTTGGCGCATCCTAGCTGTACCTGCCAGGTTACTGACGTGAAATCCTTTGCGCGATGTAGAGACTATATGAAGCGCGATGATCAAATCTTGGCCGTCCGACTCCAGACCGATGCCTCGCGCGATAGGATGCTTCAGGGCGCCAAGGAGCGGGACCGCGCGCAGGCCGCCAAGGCTGCCAACAGCGAAGTCCCCCTCCCGATCGCCGACCTCCAGGGCGAAGACCCGAACGTGGCCGCGCAGGACTCGACAGCGATAGACCCGACCAAGGTGATTGTGATTCACCCCGGCAGCCAGAACCTACGCATCGGCTTCGCGAGCGACGCGCTTCCTAAGACGATTCCGATGACGCTAGCGACCAAGTTCCCCCAGACCGAGTCGGAGATGTACGAGGCGCTGCCGAGGCGGCAGTTCGAGGCCAAGACGCCGGAGCAGCAGTACGGGGAGGAATGGGCCAAGAAGTTTCAGAAGCACAGCGGGGACCTCAAAGTGGAGATGAGGGCGGCGAAGCGCAAGGTTCTGCCCAACTCCAAGGAGATGGTTCTCAACTACAACCGCCGTACCGAACCCGAGGAGATTCCGCTGCACAACGACCCGCTGCAGGTGGACTGGACCGAGGTGGACGCGCTCGAGGACCCGCAATCGTCGGCGTCATGCATGATTGGCCACCAGGCGACGAGGATCCCCGACGACTCGAACCCCAAGTTCAAGCTGTGGTGGCCCATTCAGCACGGGTGGATGAACGAGGATGACTACACGACAGCGGAGCACCTCTACGACGACTTTGAGACGCTGCTGGACAAGGCTATTCGGCAGGATCTAGGGCTGACGAGGAACAGCACGTGGAGGCAGTACAGCTGCGTCTTCATCGTGCCGGATCTATACGACAAGAAGTATGTGGAGAACGTGCTCCGGTCGTGCATGACCTGGTTCGAGTTCAACCGGGTCTGCTTCATTCAGGAGAGCATGGCGGCGACGTTTGGCGCGGGTTACACCCAGGCGTGTGTGGTAGATGTCGGCGCGCAAAAGACATCCATCACGTGTGTTGAGGATGGGCTGTGCCTTGAAGACTCTAGGATCAACCTAAAGTACGGCGGCTACGACGTGACGGAGACGTTTATCAAGATGATGCTCTACGACAACTTTCCCTACGAGGAGATCAACCTGCGCCGGCGCTACGACTTTTTGCTGGCGGAGGAGCTCAAGATCAAGCACTGCACCATGTCGCAGGCGGACGTGTCGGTGCAGCTCTTCCAGTTCCATCTCCGCGCTCCGAACCAGCTCACGCGCAAGTACCAGTTCAAGACGTACGACGAGGTGATACTCGCGCCCATGGGATTCTACGACCCGAGCCTCTTTGACAACACGACGAAGCTCCGGGGCCGAAGGAAGCTGATCGACCGGTCATATAACTCGTACGACGTCGAGGTTCCCGACGACCCCACTTCGCAGGCGCAGCTCGCCATCCTCGCGCTCGTCAAACCATCCATCATCTCCAACGGCATCGGCCAGGGTGGGGCAGCCGGTAACAACGATGTTTCCACGCCGGTCAAGGAGAAGCCGCACCCCTTCAATTTCTTATCCCGGGTGGATGCGGCGCTCTCGGCCACGCCCAGCGCATCTAACGCGCCGTCGCCGGCCCCCGACGGTACCAGCACGCCCGTGCCACCGCCCTTCATCTTTGGCAAGGACGGCAACGGGCACGCGGACAGCCCAGCGCCGGGGGCGGGCACGCCAGGACCGGGAGGGGCGACGCAGTCGGCGCAAGCGTCCTTTGCGGAGGCGACGCCGGCCGTAGCAACGCGCAGCGCGGTGGACATTGCGGACGAGCGCGACTCGGTGCTACCGGTGGCGCCGCTAGATGTGGCGGTCCTGACGAGCATCCAGAACGCGGCACGCGGGGACGAGAAGAAGTTGCGGGACCTCTTGGGCAGTATCATGGTGATTGGCGGGGGCGCCAAGATCCCGCAGTTCGCCAGCGTGCTGGAGGAGAAGCTCAAGGCGCGGCGGCCGGACCTGTACGACCGCATCCTCATCAGCAGGAGCGCGAGGGACATGGACGAGCAGGTGGTGGTGTGGAAGGGGGCGAGCGTGTTTGCTAAGTTGTCGACCAACGACTCGTGGATTGTGCCGCTCGAGTACGAGAGGCTGGGGTCGAGGGCTCTTCACCACAAGGTGATGTGGTCGTGGTAAACAGTCAGCGGGTTAGAAGGGGTGGGAAACAAGAGGGAAACGCCCCTCGGGGAAAAAAAGATGCGCGAAGGCGAGAGAAGAAAAAGTTGGCGAGGAGGAAGACAAGGCTGCTTTTTCTCTGCCTCTTTTTCTTGGTAGCTCTTTGTCTTCTCAAATCTCGTTGTTTTTCTTTTTTTCAGTCGTCCTTCTTATGTTTTAGTGACGTTTTGTTTTGGAGGGTTGGAGTTCGAATAGGCACTATGAATTCATGGTTTTTACTTTCCTTCCAACGATTCGTAGTTTGTGAGATGAGGCAGAAAGAGGATCACTGACCCTCTTTCCGCCTAGAGGGGAATGGGTTTGTCTAAATGGTCATGGCAGGCAGAGATCGATTCTCATACTAGATGTAGATGTAGCTATCTCGTCGACATCGTCTAAGTTCACCACAAGCCATTGCTCATCTTCCATGTTCATGTTTAGCTTGTAGAGAGTCCTTCGCTGCTTCACACTTGGGAGAACGGCAATTTTATAATCCATCAAAGTCAGATAAAATAAAAGTCTCTACATTTTGAGATGAAGATATCCGAAGACTTTCCCTTCTGTTTTTTTTTTTTATTTTGGCTTGATATTATCCATCGCCTATGGCAATTCACAACAGAACAGTCAAGCTGTCGTCGGCGGCGTTGTGATTATCTAATCGCGGTGTCAGCTTCCCCATTGCCACTAGCTCAGTTCCCCATCAATTCAAGGAGCTGATTGATTAGCCACGAAGCTCTTGGACGGATTGCTTCTCGGATGAAACGACCTGTTCCGCTACCGGCTCACCTGCCAACCAATTTGGAGCAAGGTGCACGAGAAAAAAAGAAAGAGAAATATCTACTGAGCCTCGACACGCCACATACCACACCGTTTTTCTCGCGCTTTCTTCTTGTTAGACGATTTGCTCCTCGAGAAGGAAAAAGAAAAAAAGAAGAAACGCCGACAAGGAAGAACGCAGGTCCCGCCCGCCGCCTGTCGCCTACCGCTTGGCCCCTCCTCTACGCGCGACGTGCTTCCCTTTGCGACTCGTTCGGATATAACAGGAGCTGAACCGACGACCCCGATCGTACCTTTCTTTTTGATTACTTCTTATTCTTGGACTCACGAGACGACGAAACCCCGCCACCACCGCGGGCCGCCCCTCCAAAACACCGAAGCGAACAAAGTACGAGGAAGCTTCGGCCTCTTCGATGTAGTAGTTCAACTACCCTTCTTTGGGTCGTACGATAGTATTAGCACCACCAAGAACCAGCCGTATCTTACCAATCACCGGACCCGGCGTATAGTAACGGCGACAACTGAGAACGTTGCGTCCCCGTCCCCCGCGCACCGGTCTTCCAAACAAAAAGGCCATGTCGCTCCTCACCAGATACCTGCCGTTCGCGGCCTCCACGACACCGCTGCACGCCGCGACGTACCTACTCGGCATCTCGCTCTTCTCCATCTCTTTCCTAGTGTTCCTGAATAGCAGCGTGTCCTTTGTCATTACCGACCTAATCGGCCAAAAGGACGGCGTGGGCGATGTGTACGTCTCCCCTTACCTCCGGCGCAGTCCCTGTCCCCCTCCCCTCCCCTCCCCCGCCTTCCCTTCGCCGCGAGCAGTGAAGACCTGTTTTGAACGCAAGCGTGCCTTTTCCAAGACCTCACATCTAACTATTTCTATTTTGCGCTTTCCAGCGTCGGTACGCTAGGCTTCGCCGACGAGATCGTCGCCCTGATCGCTTGCCCCATCTGGGGCCTCATCTCGACCGGCTGGGCGTGCGCTGGGTCGCCGTCCTCGGCTACCTCACCATCAGCGCTTCCCTAGCCCTCTTTGTCCAGGCCAAGAATGTGTACCCCCAGCTTCTGCTAGCCAGAATCTTCTTCGCCGTTGGTGCCACCGCCGCGTAAGTGCCCTCCCTCCTTTCAGCGTTTTCTCTCCATTCTTCCTTATTTTCCTCGGCGTCGTTGGGCTGGCGTCAGACCCAAAGCTTTCCACTAACCCCTCGCCCCGTCCAGCGCCACCATGGTCACCGCGATCCTACCCTCACTCACCGACGAAAGCGACACCCATGCGGCCGCAGCCCTCTCCCGTCGCGGCGGCCCCAAGCCCAACGCCAGCCGTACCTCGCGCGAGAGCGTCGCCCTCTCTCTCTCCTCCGAGCTCACCATCACCCCCGAGCGCTACACCCGCACCGTCTCGACTTCCTCGTCGTCCTCCGCTCGCGGCGCCGAGGACAAGAGGCTCGGCAAGCCTCGGCCCTCGCCGGCTACGTCGGCGTCTTTACCGGCTGCGGCGCCCTGCTTGCCCTCTCCCTCTTCTTGCCCTTGCCCGCCCGCTTCGGCGAGATGGACGGCGTGAGCACCGCTGACGCCGTCACCTATGCGTTTTACGTCGTTTCCGCCGTCTCCCTCCTCGTCGCTGGCTTCGTCTTCGTCGGGCTCAAGGGCCTCAAGGGCGAAGATGGGAAAGGGTGGGCTGTCCTCTTTGGGAGCCACCATGGCGAGCGCGCCGGCAGTGACTCCGAGGATGGTTCCGAGGACTCTGCTCTGCAGGTATGCTACTTCTGCCTGACCTCGTTTTTACCTGCCTTTGCCCCTTTGCGTTGTATAATACTCCTTGACAGCCCCCATTTCACACATCATGACTCAGAGATCCCCCGCTAACACTAGCCATTCTTAACCTCCCCTCAAGCGACCCATCCTCCCCTACCGACACCTCCTCAAAGAGGCCGTCAAACTCGGCTTTTCCGACTCCAACATCGCCCTCGGCTACCTGGGCGGCTTCGTCGCCCGCGCCTCCACCGTCGCCATCTCCCTCTTCATCCCCCTCTTCGTCAACACCTACTTCATCAGCAACGGCTTCTGCCAGGGCTCCCCCACGACCCGTCCCCCGAACTCAAGAAGGAGTGCCGCGCCGCCTACATACTCGCCTCCATCCTCTCCGGCGTCGCCCAGCTCCTCGGTCTCCTCTGCGCCCCGCTCTTCGGCTACCTCTCCAGCCGCACCCGCCGCGCCAACCTCCCCGTCCACATCGCCTCCATCCTCGGCATCGTCGCCTACTCCGCCTTCCCCGCCTCCGTAGTCCCGAGATCAAGGACGTCGACGGCCGCGGCGGCGGGCCTCTCGTCTTCCTCCTCGTCGCCCTCATGGGCATCAGCCAGATTGGCGCCATCGTCTGCTCCCTCGGCTCCCTCGGCCGCGGCGTCCTCAGCAGCGACCTACCCACTTCCCCGCCTTCGCCCTCGCCCACGCCGACGAGGATGACGACGGCGAAACCGACGGTGTCGGCGCCCATGGCGACTCGGCTGCCGCTCGCGGAGCCCACGGCGAGACCACCGCCCTCCTTCCTGCCGCCATCGAGGACGAAGAGGAAGGGGAGGACCACGCCAACGGCGGCTACGGTGCGGCCCTCGCCGATGCCCGTAGTCGCGTGCGCCTCAAGGGCTCCATCGCAGGCATGTACTCGTGGTGCGGTGGCGCCGCCATCCTCCTCCTCACCAAGCTGGGAGGCTACCTCTTCGACTCTGTATCCACGGGCGCCCCCTTTTACATGATGGCCGCCTTTAACGCCGTCTGGCTCTTTGCTAGCCTGGGCATCGATATGGCTAGGGAGTTTCGCGAGAGGAGGTGATGACCGAAATGGCCTCTTCCATTCCCCTACCTCCTCTACTCCCGAGGTCTTGAGTGGCTAGGGAATCGACCGGCGGCGGCGGTGTCTTAGGATGAGATTCACGATGACACGTAGTAGCGTTTGTTGTACAATGCGGTGCGAGGAAGGCGACCGAGAAAGAACCTTGTCAAGATAGTATATAGCTTTGCCGTTCTCTTGTTCTTTCTTATACCTCGACGTTTATCTTGGCCCCGATGGGTAGGGGAGTAGGAAGTTTTTTCATTTTTCCTATCATGTCTCAATAATTCACAAAAACGCCATAATATATATATAGACATATATATCCAAACAAATACAAAAAGTCCCCTCACCTCTTCTTGCCTTCGATGCTTCTTTTGCCCTCTACCCTGCTGCCGTGTCACGTTCGCCAAGTTGTTAGACACGAACGTTGGTTTGACGAGGATGGGGGAGGCGAATCTCATGGTGTCGCAACTCTGGCGCGGGCCGCAGTCGATTCGCTCCATGCGTATATATATATCAAGTACTGCAAGTTCTCGTGAGAGCTGGGAGAAAGGCGCAACGGGCGTGCACAAGCAAGAGGCTGCTGACATCGGTTCTTCTTCTCTCTGGGATGAGGTATTCCATACAGACATGGCTCTCACGGCAGAGGGATCGCTCTGGTGCAACATTCATCGCCGCATTTACACTCTCACACACATACACACACACACACACAAGGATAAACGCAACGAGCTAGCAAGGGAAACTGGCCAACCCTGGCATGTTTTTGCATCGAAAAGGAAACAACTTTTCTTGTCCTTGAAGAAAATGAAAAAGAAAGGTGCCTACCCTTCCCCGTTACGACAGATAAGGAGATGCAGAGAGGAAATAGAAAACAATCAAGACAATCAAGAACACTTGGGGGATCAGGAGGAAAAACCCTTTTGCTTTTGAAAAAGGAGAAAACAAGCACCGAGAATCTCTTTTCTAGTCCATAGGGGGAGGGAAGGATGGGTGACGATTAAAACAACACACAACTGATAAAAAACAGGAACCGGTAAAGAGTAATTTTTCCCCTTAGATTGTTTTTTTACAGTCCCTCCCGTCAACAAGGTGGTTTTCCAGATGCCTCTTCTTTTCGGGTGATTTCTTCTTTGGAAAGGCATTCTAACATCTTTTTGTGGGAAATATGTTCCTGCTCTATGTATGGCAAGGACGGTTGGAGGGCTTAAGCCGCTCTCAGGTAGGCGCCTCTGGGCTGCATTTATTTGCCGAGCGAGGGGAAGGCCGACTGGTCGCTGGTGTTGATGGTGACATCCTTGCCACCACGGCCACGACCACCACGGGGGCACCCTCGCTACGGTCGCCACGGTCGCCACGGTCGCCACGGGGAGCGTCTCCGCGGCCGCGAGCGCCATCGCCACGGCCACGGCCACGACCACCCTCACCACGGCCAGCGCCGCGGGAGCACCACCGCGGGGACCACCACGGCCGCCACGAGTGCGCTCGGGCTCGACGTAGCGCTGGTCAATGTCGACGACCTGCTTGACCTTTCGCTCACGCTCGCGCTTGGCCTTGCCACCGCTGGCGGCGGAGATGAAATCATCATCCTCCTCCTTGACGAGAGGCTTAGCGCTAGCCCACTTCTTGTCGAGCTTGCTACCCTCGTTGGCCTGGCGGACCTGAGCGGGACCCTCAAGAGCGAGCTTCTTCTGGGCGAGCTGGGCAAGGTAGTCCTCGTACGAGATGTGCTTGTCCTCGGGCTCAGCCTCGACCTCCTTGGCCTCGGCATCACCTTCCCGGGCCTCCTTCTTGGCAATCTCCTCGCCGGCGACCTCATCCTTCAACTCGGCCTCGCCTTCGGCGGCACCCCAGGACTGGGCAGCCTGCTTCTCGGAGCCACTATGTCAAGGGAAAAAAACCCATGTTAGAAACTGGCTTGTGATAACTTGTAGTGTGGGCCTTCCCAAAAAGTCCACAGCGGGAACAAATGTATCGTTGCCGAGGACAAGGGACATGGCCTTAGGGTGGGATGATGATTAAAAAACTTACGGAGCAATGTTCTTGCTGTGGCGGTCATCACGCTCGCGGGGGTGGCGAGAGCCGCGTCCTATAGGGATGGGTTAGTAACCAACGGCCGTGGCACGGAGAAGCAGGTGCGTCGAAACCGGCACGCGCAGGTAGAGGATGAGGGTCAAAACTTACCACCACGAACACGAGCACCGTAGCCACCGCCGCGGGAAGAGCCTCGGGCACCATCATCAGTGGTCCTGGTTCGGTTGCGGTCGACACCAGCACCTCGGTCGCGGAAAGCTGGATAAAGAGACACGTTAGCTTTGGAGCTCCATAAATACGGTTGATTACTTGTGGAATGGCGGCGGGCGAAAAGCTTGTTCACATCACAAGGTAATGTAGTCAAGCTGCTGTAGCTTGGCTCATCCACCTTGAGACCAACACGGAGGAAGCAACCCCTTGGATATCAGCCTTTGACCATCAGGCGCTAAAGACCTGAGAGAGCATAGACCAAAAGGGGGATGGGATAGGTGGGTGCGTCTTCTTCATCTTCTTATTGAAAGAACGAGCAAGAAGATGGACCTGACGACGGGACGACGCGAGGGATGATAGGAAACGCAGATGTGAAAAAGATGGGCAAGGGTGGATAAAAACGGCACAACGGAGGACAACACGGGTAAAAACCTACCGGCCTCGCTGCCAGAGTAGCCACGTCGCTGCTGGGTGTTTCCTCCCCTAGCAGCAGCATCGGTCTTAGCACCACGGGCGCTCTGAGCAGCACCTCCCTTCACAACGGGAGCCTCTCCATCCTCGCCTGGTGATGAATGTTAGCTACGACATCCTTCTCCATCCCAAGAAAAAAGACCGAATGCTGAAAGACTGGATGAAGGCTAGCGACATCGAATGGCGCAGCATCATCTTCGCCAGGTCTATTTGAGATATTTCAAAGCAATTGGGAGAATGGGGACAAGGTTCTTGTGGCAATGGAGAAGAATCGTACCGAGGAGGTCAAACGGGTTCTGGAAGTTAGGGCAAAATGGTTAGCGATTGTTGCTGCGATCCTCGGTTGTTTGCAGGACTGTGCAGGGCAAGAGGAAGAAAAGCGTGACCCGGTGCCATCTCGAAGCTGTGCGAAACTCTACGGCCGGCGCTGCCCCAAGGAGAGGAGCATTGACGAGTTTGCCAAAGAAAGGCCAGCACAGCACGTTCCCGAACCGACCAGACTCGCCAAATTTCAATTGCCTTCTCGAGGCCAGACCGAAGCTCATAAACTCACGGCTAGCAACGAGAAAGAGACAATGAGACGAGTCGAGGTCGAGATGATGCCCTTCTCGGGCGCTTTCCTTTCTCCCCTTTCCCTACCCCCAAGGACGGGGAAGACGAAAAAATTCCTCTCTCAGCCGGGACGGCGAGAAATAGAAAAACTCACCTTAGTGACGACAGACATGTTGACCGCCGGATTATCGCCTCAAAAGGCGTGCCTTGATTGGAGACACTCTGGAGAGTGAAGAGAAGGGATAATTCCGGGTGGGTGGAGAGGGATGAGTTGAAGGAGGAAGAACGTTGTTTACCAGATCATGACCCCTAAGATGGAAAGGCGTTGGGGGAAGGTTAAAGAGGGTTGACGAAAAAATCGGGGAAAAGTAGGGGAAAAAAAAGTCAGAAATGGGTGGTCGCTGTTGTGACCAGTGTGACCAGGACCGGACCAGGACCAGAGCCAGACGGGTCTTTTTTTTCTTGGGGGTTCGAATTTTACTTGAGTGAGATGAGCGCAATCATACAAAAATTTCCAATCACACCAGCAAAACCAAACTATGAATCCTATGCCTTTTCGGTTTTTCCCCTTCATTTATTCGTGCACAACTGTTGCTCTCGTGAACAAATATTCTTGTCGACAGACACAACACGCGATCAATCCCCCAATCTTTGCCTGCGCTCCCGATCCATCGATCGCTGCAGCATCAATCGCAATTGCGTCGATTGTGGCTTCCTCCCAACAAGAAGCCGATGGTCGCTCGTAATACTAATCCTGAGCATTCCCAGCTAGTCGGCCCTGCCTGGTCTAAGCTCCAACATTAGCACACCCCCAAGCCAAGCAGAGCATGCCTGCCCTGCAGCACAGCACGGGTATTGTCTTTCCACTGCTTTCTTTTTCATGTTGCCGGGCCGTCCATCAAAGAATGGGTCCAGCCTCAAATTTATGCACTACAGCACAGTGAGGAACGCTACAGCGTCCCGGGCCCGAACCGATGTCTTGCTCTGAGAGATCCTATCCTACATGTTCGGTTTCTTGGACTCATGAATAATAGGAGGAGAAAAAAATCACCCCCGTCCCTGCTGGAGTATCCACTCCGTGAAACGTGCGAGCTTTTCAATTATTTAGCTCTGAGTCCAGGTAAACAAGGGCGTCGAATGCCTCAATGATCATATTAGCTGGTGACGTAGCACCGTTGTGGCCTGTTCTCGACACAACAAGCACTGGCAAATTGCTCACCAAGCTTCCTCTCTTCTTTTTGTGTTTCCCAAGCGCACTCGCACTCGACAAAGGCAAGGTCTTGCTTGCCCTACAAGTACCAAGGTACAATGCACTCCAATCCGCCAAGACAAGGGAATTCCCCGCATAAATCTCGGCACACGCCCCAAGCTTCCCTTTTTCTCCCCACACACACACACACACACAAAGCAACCCAGCTTTTTGCCTAATATTCTAATTTATGTCTCTTGGTCATGCTTTTAGTGGCCTATGAAAGCCCTAGAAAAGAGGGCTTTTTTCATGACCCTCCCTCCTCTTTCTTGCAAGTGTCTCGGTCCATTCCCCTCGGGCGGTTCCAGTGAAGAAAATGAGACGAGGGCGAGAAAGAGCGAGAACCCATCCCGCCCAATCACATCATTCCGGTCTCCGGCTCTCCGAACCGGTTGTTCGAACACATTCGATGATGATCGTGATATTGTAAAACAAGCCATGGATGGGATGAGTGGAGAAAGAGGGCGGGAACTCCGTACTTTTGACAAAAGAACCTCCAGGCGATAGATAGGATGCACCTACTATGAGGATCTGTAAATGGAATTGTCCTTTAGACCACGTTGCTCAACATTGAACACTGCGAGCGAACAAAAAACCATGATAATGATTATGCTCTCTTTGAAACGGGCGCCGATGGCGGAATGAAAGAGAATGAATATGAAAATAAAAATAAACAGTAAACAAACCTAGAAAAAGAAATAAAAAATCCGAGTCCCTCCCGTAAGGTGATACCGACTGTCTCAGATTCTTTTGCCGGAAATCTCCAACAAACTTGATGCAAAAACAAGACCCAAAAGGGGGAGGGAGGAGGGCCAAAAAGCAAAAATGAATGATGCTCCCATACCAGGAATCGAACCAGGGTCTACGCTGAACACTCAAGATGAGAGAGCGTTATGCTAACCACTACACCATATGGGATTGTTGGTTGTTGAATGGTGTTTCCAATTCTGGTACCATAAAACCTTGAGAATTTGGCTCTTGTTATTTTTTATCAGCGTCTCGTCTTCCCTCCAGGGAGAAGAAACCAGTAGTGATTTTAAGTGTTCGTCGAAAGGATAAAGGCAAAAAATGTAAAGACAAGTCAAAAAGAACCAGATAGCTTTTAAATTTCTAAAAATATTGATGAACCATTTACACCAAATTACACGATACGGCGAAGAAGAAACCCCTCCCTACTGCAACATGCTGTCCAAACTCTCCCCAAGCACACCCTCGATGCTCACGATCCACCGGTGCGTCTCCCTCTCCACCACCTCGTCGTCGTCGTCCTGCAGCTCGCTGATGAACGGGAGCATCTCGGGCAGCATCGCCAGCCACTCCTCGCCCAGCTTCTCCGCCAGTGCCTGCTGACACTTGACCGCCGCCAGGCGCGCCGACGCCTGCTCCGAGCGCAGCAGCTTGAGGATCGATGTGTTGAGCTCCTTTTGGTGCGCCTGCGAGCTGGCCGCGCGCGCGAGCTCTACGACCGCGGGCACGAGCGCGACCGACAGGTCCAGCGAACCCGAGAACCGGAACTGGTCTACTAGGACGGGTGCCACCGCCCCAAAGTGCGCGGGTGTCTGCCAGAAACCGTCCTCGTCGTGCTCGAAGCACTTGGCTAGCACATTGAGCACGCTTTCCCACAACATGCGTGCCTCCCGCGACTCCTTGGGGCTCGTCGATTGAAGCACTCGCACCGCGTCATCGAGCATATATGTCGCGTAGTTGGTCACGATGCGGCCCAGCTGGTTGAAGAAAGCGTACAGGAACCCGTACACGCTCTGAGACCGGCGAAGGCGTCCCACCGTATCCGACTTGCCGAGGCCGGTGCTGGTCCAGTCCACGAGCTGCGTGAAAATAGGTCGGAACGTGGCATCGTTGAGCTTGTGGATGACCAGGAGAGCCACTTCATTGATGGAGCTCTCGATCTCGGCCACCTTGGTAGCGACAGTCTCAGTCACAGGACCCTTTTCGAACTCCTGCCTCCTAAAGTCGTAAGCGCTCAGGAGGATAGAAGAGAGAGACGACACGTTCTTTCGGATGGTCTGCTCCCGGTGGGAAGCCACGGCCGTGCGAATAAGATCGATGTATTCCGTGATAGCCTGTGGTAATCTAGAGTTAGCAACGGTCGGGTGTTTAGTGGATTAGTGGAGGGAGAGCTGCGGGCTAAGCCGCATATTCTTACCTTGAAGCCAGCGCCAGCAGCCCTCGGCCAGCCATTGGCAAGACCGGCGAAGAGAACCTTGGCATCCAGCTGAGTGGCCAGGGTCTTGAGGCACGTCTTGCGGCCGTCCTCCGCCTCCTCGTCGAACCCGTGCTCGGCCGAGGCATTGGAGATGGCCAGTAACTGCTCGAGGTACGAGCTCGTAACCATCTCTGGCATGTGCTGCACGACGGACAGCACGAAAAAGTAGCATGCGTTGTGCAGCTCCGGGTCCGGCTCCTCGGCCGTCATGCACTCCCTGAGGTAGTTCATGGCGTACGCGGAGGCGCTGGGGAGCACGGGGAGCACGCCGTGGCCTAGCACGCTGACGAGGGACGCGAGGCACAAGAGTGCCATGACGCGGAGGTGCTTGTCGGACTGGCCCAGGCAGTGCTCTCCGGCAATCGTAGAAGCGGCGGCGGCGACAGCCTCCAGGTCCTTTTCGCCGTACTTTTCGGCAATCTTGTCCACGCACGCGACGGCGGTGTGCTTGTACTTGATATCTTCGGAGTCGCGGATCGCCGCCGTGAGCTGGGGCAGGAAGCCCAAGAGGACCGTTCGGGAGCTGGGGTCTGCGCTGCTCTCCTGATTCACCCTCGTTTCGAGGGCCTTGAGCACCTTTTGGCGGAGGCCTAGGTTTGGTCGGTCCAGCAAATTCTCAACAGCTTTGATGAACTCGCCGATGGTAAGGAGGTTGAGAAGGCCGGCAAGAGACTCTCCGCAGAGCCCGTAGAGTTGCTTGTGGACCTTGACGGCCTCTGCTAGGGAAAGGAGATTCTCAAGGAGGCTGGCGTAGAGCTCGCGGACCTCGGATGCCTGCATATCATCGTGCTCGGTGATCTTGCGAACCTGGATGCGTAGTCTCCGGCTGGACAAAAGGGCAGGAAGGGCGGACAACTGGCTAAGAGCCGCCTCCTGGGAGACTTGCGGATCCAATTTACTCGTCGGCCTCAGGAGGGCGCTAGCGAGGTTGGGGCTGGGTTTGAACAGGTCACCGATGAGCTGAATGAGCTTCACCAGCGAATCCAACTGCGTTTTCACGTTATGTCGGTCGAGAAGTTCCGTGACGAAAGAAAGTACGCCATCGGTAGGGCCCTGCTTCTCGACAAGTAGGGCAATGATGGCAAACAGGAACTCGTCCGCGCCGAGCGTGTCAACGAGCGACATGAATATACCGAATCGGCGGTGAGAGGGGATATGCTCGTAGGAGGAGGTGAAGCTCAAGAGTAGCTCCGAGGAAGCCGCCACGACACTCTTCTTGCCCTTGCGGAGAGTCGCGACGAGAGGTGGCACAACCTCCTTGATAACCTGGTTGACGACGTGCGCCGAGTAGTCATCGCTCTGGCGTATGACGGATACTCCCATAAACGTAAAAATCGGCATGACACAGTGGATGACAACGTCGGGTGCAGTTGTAGCCAGGCTAGCAATGAGGAGCAGGGCGGCGTTCTGAACAACCGGACTGGAGGACTTTTGAATGCAGTTGACGAGGAGGTCGCCGTAGCCGTCCGAGATGGTGATCTTGAGATCGCTATTGGCCTTGTATGCGGGGAGCATGGCGTGCAAGCTCATCAATACGACATTTTGCAGGTAACCCAAGTCGGATCCGACGACGGACCGGAAGGTTTGCAGTTTGGCGAGGGTCGAGAACAAGGTGGGGAGGAGTGCGGCGTGGGCCACGGGGTTCGAGATCTCGATGAGTTGTAGCACAAAGGTAGCTTTCTTAAGGGCCATGTTGATTTCAGGCGAAGGCTGCAGGGGCGAGCCACGAGGGCCTTCGTTGCTCATGCGGCGCCTCTTGTTAGGGGCGAGTCCACGACAATGTTGGTTTCCATGTGGATGGACTCGAGGAAGTGGGAAAGGATATCCGTGGTCAACTCGACACTTCGCAGAAGCTCCGCGGCCTCGATGGCCGTGGGCCGAGGCATATCATCTGCGTCAGAAGCGCTGAGAGCCAAGTCGATCATCTGGTTCGCTATGGATGACTTGTTCTCGGGCTTCATCAAGGACCACAGCTTGCGAAGGCGCAAGAAAATCGTCTCGATAAAGTCCTCTCGGGTATCTTTCGAAGTTACGATAATCTTTAGCAAGGCCTGCAGGCCTGCAGCGTCGTTGGCGACGACGGTCTCGACGAACCGTTGGTTGAGGCTAGCCTCATCGATGCGTTCCTTCTTGACGAGTTCCGATACTTGTTCCGAGGTCAGGCCCGCCCACCAGTTGAGAGACGGTAGGAGAAGCTGGGTTCTGCTGGTGCTGGGAATCGATCGAACACGGTTAAGAGCTTTGAGAAGACGTTCCTTGACAAGCAAAAACGGGGTGCGGAAAATGACGGCAGCGGTAAATCGGGCAAACGCAAGCCGAACGGGAGGAGGGAGGCGGTCCTTCGCCTCCTCGGAATCCTTGGTCTTGCCCGGGCCAATCGAAGACTCAAAAATGGCGCTGACGTGATCCTGGTGAATGACGCACTCTTCGAGGGTAGGGAGGAGAACGGTTCGGATCACCTTGGCGGCGGCTTCAGTGCTAAATGCGTCGCGGCCCTGGGTACCCGGATAGAGCGATTTCTCTCCCCAAATGGCGGCTCCTGATCCCTTGGTATTGCTGGGATATGCTTGGTCGACGACGATGAGCAGATCCGCAGCGGCCTGTCGTACCTTCTTGGATGGGTCACTGAGAGCTGCGAGGATGTAGGGGATAAGGGCCTGCAGGTCCAGCTTCTCATTGCACGTCTTCAGCCGGTTCTTCACCATCTCCAACGCTTTGGCCTTGGCCAGGGCCGGGAATGCTCCGCACCAAATGCGCACATAAAAGGAAATGTAGGTGGGCTCCGAGAGAGCTTTCTCACGGGCCAGGACCGGCAGCGAATCGAACTGCTCTAGCACCTTTTCCGGGGTAGGATCGATGATGGCCCGAAGGAAGACTTCGCTGACCGCGGGGAAAGCCTCTCCAGCATCAGCACCAAGATTGGAGGATAGACCGTCCGACAGGCTTGAAACCTTGGCCAACTCGTCGCTGAGGGTTTCCTTGACGGGCACAGGGGCTTCGCTCGTCTCCATAGCATCATCCTCTGGCGCAGGAAGCATCTTATTTTGGCGCAGCGACAGATCCAATCGCATCTCCAGCTGGTCCATGTCGAAGTCGATATCAGTGATGGCGTTTTGAATAATGTCACCGCACTCGCCAGGATCCTGGGATAGTTGAACGAGCATAGTACCGAGTTCCTTCCTCACGCTTCCGCTCGCATCGACCTCCTCGCTGAGGTTGGTGCCAAGGAGGAGGAGCGCCTTGAAAAGGACGGACGTCTGTTTGGGGGTGAGAACGCCAGCCCGGATCAGGGCACCCACTACCGGAAGCCCGCGGGCACAGCAGCGGCCCTGTCAATCATGGCTAGGCAGAGGCCGTTGGCATCAACCCTCCACTCGCGGCCGATCGAGGTGGCTTTGAGGAGCGCCTTGGCAGCCCGAGACCTGCTTCGCGCATAATGGAGAGACTACAGCCGATGGCGAGTTGCTCCATGAATATCGGAAATCGGCGGGCGAGGAAGCGGGGCCTGGCTTTATCGGGCCTGGTGGTGAACGAGTGGCTCGTGGAGGGGATGTGAGGGATCGGATGTAAGGCTGCAAAAACGGTAGTCGTCGGGCATCTGAGACGGCAGAATGGACAAGAGTGTCACAAAGACCGGTAGAGTGTGGTACGGGAGGAATGTGGTGAGGAGGAAGGCGGTGTTGAACTCGTGAACCCTGAAAGAAGGCCATACCTATGATTAGCCACCGCTCGCAGATTCCACGGCGTGTCTAGGAAAAACGGCACAAGACTCACCTGAACCGTCGAATCAACCACTCAATTGCTTTGATGGCTGGCATAAGCCGTAGCCGGCTACCTGCAAGACGCAGAAAAGCCTCGACTTTCCTGTCAAGTTCGACATTTTCGGCCTCGGTGAGCTGGGTCCTCTCCTCGCTCTGGCTCTGTTCGCTAAAGAGCGTCGCACGGAAGGGGGCGAAGCGGGAGTCGAGACCGCAGAGTTCTTCGAATCCTTCTTGGCAGACGGGGTAGAGGCTCTGGAAGCTTTGGGTTGCGGCGATCTTGGGCTCCCAGATTAGGGATTTCGAGTGAGCGGCCTTTTGGGCCTTTGCGTTCAACGTAGTCTTTGACTTGACGGCGATCTGCGCCAGCTGTTTGGCGAGAGAGGTAGCCATGTTGAAAGGAAAACAGCTACGAAATAATTCCTAGCATTCGAAACAGAAAGAAGGAAAACAGGACAAAAACACTTAAATTGGTCGAAAACCCCTCCTTTGCATACGTGGGTGTTCGGGCATTGGCGCTTGTAGCGTTCGTTCGTCCCTTCAAGATCGTGAAGAGCATCCCTCCATCTCGAAAAAAAAAAAAAAGTTGTAGTCCCACCGCGGTTTAACCGTCGAAGCTTCACCCCACTCCACTCCCCCACCATGAACCACTTTGACTCCACCAGCCTGGGAGTGGGAAGTCTAGACCAGGTTAGTCAGCATAAACTGCGATTCATGGAGATGGGAGTTTGTCAAGAGTTTCTTGGTTTTATTGGCCAATCCAACAAATAAGTTATTGGATATAAACAACCCGGATGGGATAGATAGGACATCACTCGGACAGACAGGCAATTCTCTCGTTTTTCATTTTTCCGTTCTTCTCTTCCTCCTTCCCATCGACACACATGCTTCACTGATATTTACAAGTAAGCATCTAAAATATAGAAGCTATCCTTGGACACCATCTCTGAAACATTTGAGACTCTCGCCTTGCTCAACCACAGCTAGGGTAAAGGACCTCGAGCCTTGTCATTTATTGTGTTGTCACACAACCCAGGGGATGCGCAAGCTCCATCAGCCTCGCCCTTGATTTTGGTAGCATTCGCATCCCAAGGTCATGGCGCCGGTGTGTGGGGACAATATCGAGGGATCATCGTCAATATTCCAAGTTAATTTCCCCAAGACCAGGACCAGACTCAAGGGAGTGCGCAGCACGTCGGAACAGCGAAACATGCCTCCGCGTGTCTGGCGTCCTCAGCCCTTCGCGGCCATGAGCGGCTTTTCAAAAGTGGTATTAGGGTCCCTAGCAAGCGCGAGCCGAGATTGAAGTTCTACGGCATAAGATTAATCCTCCCAATATGATCCCCGTCGAGGCACCCCAGTCTTGTTTGCGCCATCAACCCTCCATTCTTTAGCCCATTCTTCAACATCGTGATTCGCGTGAAGAAAACCATGTATATCGCTCGTAGTACACATCGACAAAGAATACCTCGGCATCCTGCTCTTTGTTTTTCGATGGTGCACAATACGAATAGGAGCACGTTAACAAAATGAGAAAGAAGAAAAACTGAAAACACGAGCTGGGGCATTATGGTATCTATATTGTATTTCCACAGGAAAAAGGCGCCCGTGGGAGAGTCCCCGCGCTTACGAAAACGGATCGATACGAATTGAAGAGAAGCAAGTGCTAGGCGTTGTAGCTACTATTGCGGCGGACATCTGGGCGTACATGTAAGGTGAAGGCAGGGGAGGGAGGAGGGGGCGACGTGGTGATTTCGGTGACCGGTGTAAGGATCATAAATCCGTTCACATCACTGATCCCCAGCCTAGCATTGGTCAGTCAAGCGGGCATGTGGTTCCGGTATCCTGCATGACGTGAAGCCTAGCAGGAAATATTAGAGTGGATGGTCAGGTCCGATCGGTCCTGTAAGAGTTCAGTGTTTGTCAATGCAGAAGTATCCTATGGATACTAGATGGGGGACAATACAGGGGAGGTGCGTGAACTCTGGCGCGAAGGCAGATCCCTATGTGGCTGGTGTTCCCAAAAGACGCAAGAGGACCATCCCCATCCGAATCTATTGGTGACCAAATGTCGGACTAAACGAACCGGTATGCAGCCGAGTTCCCATTTTCAAACGGGGGTCGGGCCATGACTTCCTCAGAACTCCTTCGCCTACTACATGCGAAGAAAGAAGAGTGAGGAAGGACGAAGCGACGAGGGGACATAGCAAGTTGGTCACCCTCGGCAGCAGGCCAACCTGCTGGCCACGGCCCGGCCATGAAAGTAAGGGATCGGCCTGAGGTCAAAGATGAGAGCACCCCTTTTGTTGTCGATAGCTTGACTCAGGAACTGAGGACAATTTGTGCTGTGCTGTTACCACTGGGTCCCGGGCCAGCAACAGCCCGGAAGGCTCGTACTCCCTTCCTTATCAAGACCCTCTGTGCAGGGCTTCCATAACTTGTCTCCAGCATCCACCTTCCAGTTAACGTCCAGCGGGTGTCATCCTTTCTTCAGATTCCAGGGAGAAGGGTCGAGAGTGGCTCCAGCCTCTCGCGTCTTGTTTTCCCTTTGTGGTAAATTCATCATGAGTTCATTCCAAGTCAAATCGTCTCGGTACTTTCCAAATGACAGCCCGCCACAATCCCCCAAGCAGGCAGCCGTTGTTGGCGATCCTGGTGTGTAACCACCCCATCACCATCGGCAACTCTGGATTCTGTATCGACAGAGAAAAGTTAACATTTAGCATCACGAGAGAGGAAGCCAAAGGCTAATTGAAACAATAGGAACCGCCAAACCCAACAAGTTGCGCGGCACAATTTTTTTAATCCGGTCCGTGTCGGGCCAGATCGAGTCCTGTCCCCCAAGACGCTGAATCGACGGCGACCCGCGCTCCAGTCTTGACGGCCGGCGCTGCAGGACCAAGATTTCGCATCCGTCAAATCGAAACCCACCCCATCTTGAACGCCGACATGATGATTGATTGTCTGGAAACAAATCGGAAAATTTTCAACATGTGCCGGATCAGAGGGCGAACTGAGTGATGTTCTGGCGGAAGGGTGTGTCCTCCGCCCGGCCTGCCTGCCGGCCATGTACTTTTGGTCCCTTCGGGATTTGCGTGCTTCGGGTTTGTGGCCCTTCTTGCGTAAACTCGATGAACCCCCGAGTGCGCTCCGAAGAGAGAGGAGGGAGATGCCTATTCCTTCCATCAAAGCCAACGGACGACTCAAAATCGATGCTGAAGCGCCGGATGTTGAGATGATCGAAGAGGACGACTTAGGGGAGAAATCACAGGAATGCCTGCGTTCATTGGGTGCTTTGGCGCTGAAGGAAATTGAATTTCCTCCGTCCATGGATGTCTGCATCATAGAACCAACTCTCGCCCGGCAATCACCCACCGTCGCGCTGAGAACTGCCTTTGTCCAATCAACAGCTCACCGCTGAACAAGGGAGAAATGCGACACAGATTTCTGGTGTCGTACGAAGTAGGAAGAGCGCCCTCAAACAATATCACGCTCAGGACTCTGAACGCCTTATTAAAGAAGATGCGGGGGCATCACCTTTCTATGGCTCCACCCTCCACTCAACATTATGGGAGGCAGTGCTTCTCAGCATGGCGGGACATAGCTCAACGGGGTCGGACGAAACTGCCACACAAACCCTCCGCGAGCGAGGCGTCAGCCCCGTGACACGAGAGAGAGAGAGAGGTTGACCAGGGTTAATGATGAACTCGCCCCTTCACAAACTAACAGCAAGGGGGAGAAAGGCCCTCAAGCAGAAAGCGGTTGGTTTGCTTTGGTGAGGCCTGGTGCTCGACAAGTACTTGGCAAGTCACGACTGGTACTCTCAAGTCCACCCTCTCTGGGGAGACCTGTCTATACAATGCGCGTTTTCATCCTCAAGGGTTCGTTTGTGCGCCACAGTATCGCCAGAGGAAGCTCGTCCCGACGAAGGCTGTTGGTAGCTGATCAATCACAAGCTGGGTCTGGACTCCCTTGATTCCTACCGAGGTAGATTGGGCTGCAACGAACAAAAATGGTGACGTGCCTTGATCCGTCGCGATATCTTGAACGCGAAAATACTCACAGATTGCTACGCACTCTAAGAGTTCACCCCTCACAGGCTCTTGCAACGCTATTCCCGAGAAAGGCAGAAAATGGGGAGGATAACCTGAGTTGAAGTGTTGGTGATCGGCCCTCCTCTCTCCTGGGCTTGACACGGCATTTCATTTTTGTCGGGCGGCTACTGTTCCCGACGGAAGAGGCTAGGAGGGACTCGAGAAGATCGCCCGTGACCTTGCTGGTAGGATCGGCTTGGCCTGTGTTGGTGCCGAAGAGGGAGGGGAGGGGGCGTCGTTGTGGAGGGCCTCAGGAGTTCTTGTTGGCCACAACCAGCATCGGAAGGTGGGGCGTACAGATAGAGCCCTTGAGGTATGTGATGGGAACGGGGACTCCGTTACGGACATGCCCCAGGATCTTGTCCGTTTTGGATCATGGGAAGCGAACGATGCTAAGCGCGCGCACGACATTGCCACGAGGACCCGGGCCCTGGTGTCACCATCATATATGCGCAAGATCTGCATGTGTTTGCCGACCTGAGAAGAAGATATAGTGTATAGTTCTCTCTACCTCGGTGGAAGTTGGTCGGTCCCTCCCCCCACCCTGACGCTTGGTTACAAGTTGGTCACAACTCATGCACTCGCAGGAAACATCATGCGTGAGCTACATGTAGGATGTAGAGGTCCTGAAAAGCAACCGCTCTTGGGAAAATTCGCCGCTGAAGAGAAAAAAAAAGAAAAGAGGGGAGGCAAGGGAAGAAACCGCACGTATGCACCACTGGCGCGCATTCGCTGGGATTGAATTTCGAACTCTTCTCATCACCCCCACGCCACCCACCTCTCAAGTCCTCCTCTGCGAATCGCATGTCGCGATGACTGGCCCCCACTTCTCGATCTTGTCAAGTCAGCTGGTTTTCTGCTCCCTCCTCCTAAGCACGGAACTGACGTGAACTACGTTCCCAGAGTGTTTCACAGCCGTCTATCATTGATGAGGAGGAATTGGTTGTACGTGTTCATAGAAAAATACCGACCGGACACATTTCCCAATCAACCAAGATAGTTAGAGTATCTAATCGACTGAACGGCGCGTATCTGTATCGTGCCAGATCTTTGTTACCACGTACCCTCGTACTACTCCGCCCCAGTGCTTTGAAATATGATTAAACGATGCATCCCTCCCATACCTCGGTACATATGGTCGAAACGAAAGAACAGGCCCAGCTGAAGTCTGCTGGCTTTGAAGCCTGCTGATTCGCTTACCGATCAGCGCAAATTGAGCACACTAAACTCGGGATCGAGAAACTCCTAAAGGTTATATTGACGACGTTCGCCAACACCCCTTCACCCTCCCCGTCTTCCTCGACCTCCCTTCTTCTTCTATACTCTATCTATACTCGTAAGATGATCTAGATCTCGCCACTCTCAGAAGATCATCTAGCACACGAGATGAGGAGATGGAAGGGATCGAGATCCCTTTCTTCCACCATGCAACCCCTCTTTGCAAGACGAGCGACGTCGGTTTATCGCTCAGCATTGCCGGCCCGCCGTGATTCTTTGCCTCCTTGTCTGACGGCATGGAAAGGAACGAAATGAGGCCCGTCCGTCCTTTTTTAATCGGCTTGATATTCAGTCCACGCACGTAAAATCCTTTTTCCGTGCTATTTCAAGCCCTTGGGACTCTTGGTCTTGAATTCATCTGGAGAGCCGAGTTCTGGCAGCGTACCTGGGTATAAGAAGATGTCTCCGTCCCTCATCTGGCCCGTGCCACTTTAGCTTGATCAAGTCTGACTCGCTCTATCAGTTACAACACCTCTGCCCGAACCCGTCGAGTCAAGTCAAGTAGCGGATGCTTAACTCAGCATTGAGATCTGAAGTTTGACCTTCGCTCCTGACTAACAGAGAGATGAGGTGTTGGGTTGCGAGCTGTTTCGTGTTGGGCATGTAAAGTGGGGTTTTGGGGGAGGGGAGGGGCGCGTTGGTGCACGGAAGGCAACGCCTTAGCAGAGGTCCTTTCCGTCTTACTCCCGACGCCGCCGGCTCTCGATCTGACCAGTACTCGCTGGGTGCCACGAATTTGCACATGGCTCTAGCTACCTCGGGATAGCAGAAAATTCTTTTCCCACCCACCTATGTCCGTAGAGGGCGCAGCAATGCCGGCAGCTCGGAAAGTGACGCCGGCATCTTGGAAAACAAGAGAGGGGGTGGGAGGGGGAACGCGTCGATGGTCGCGGGAGCCTCTCATCCAACCAAGAAGAGGAAGGCAACCCTTCTTCGTGCGTTATCTGTACACCGTCATTGACAGCTTTGTGGCCTAGAGATTACGCGCCATTGTGCAGACCCAGTCCTCGTTTCTAGCCTGTGCCTTGAGCGTTGCAAATTGTCGTGGTGTGGCTTTCAATGCAAGCACGGGAGGCTAAACCTTTTTGCAGGATTTTCTTTTTCTTCTCTCTTCTTTGCTGCTGCCCTCGAAATTCGAAGCGTCTGCGCGGTTTCGAGCTCTGTGTCCAAGGGCAAGGTGAGTGGTTTCCATTGAGCCCTTCTGATTCCATTTGATCAGAGCACTGCATCGGTGGGCCCCTTCCATCATTGATGGACTGGACCCTGGCAAATTGGCTCAATCTACCGAGGTATTCTACCTTGTTGGGCTGAGCGTTGGCTAGCCTGTTCCGGTACTGCAAGTTGTATGAGACTTGGGGCAGCACGCCCTAAAACTCGCGCCAAGCGGGGCCGCCAGCCCCTGCCGCTAGTGTCAACCTTCCGCCAAGGGGGCCAAACATCGATTGGAGTTCCAAGCATCCATTCCATGTCCGCAGCGAGACGTGGAAGCTCCTTGTTCTCGATATGGCAACTCTCAGATGTCAACAGACCGTCCGCCTGCTGAGCACATAGACCAGGCTCGCTTGTAGTGCCCCAGGTAGGGAAAGTTATATGGGCTCACAATCATCGATGCGACGATATTATGCCGAAGAACCTTTTAGGAGAGCTTGCCCTGTCCAAAGCACAGAAATATCTGGGTCAATGAAAATCCCTGTCACACCCCTCTGAGGAGCACTCAAAGGTTCTGTCCCGCTGCGCCAATGATCAGCGAGAGAGACTGAAGAGTATCGGTGCATAGCCCACCCCTGCTCGATGACCTGTCAGCAGTGCTGTCCGTGGCATCAGTGCTGTTAGTGCCGCCAGTGCTGTTCATGCTGTTATCATCAAGATCCACATTGGCGTAGAAGGTTGGATCAACACGGTTTGCCTCACGCGTCGCCACCCTTGCCGCAAACAAGCTGCACATCACAGAACTATGGTGTCCGATGCGCACCTCTTCCAAGGCATGAGGCATGGCATCATTGAAGAAAGTATTAACAGCGCGATGCATGCGAGAGATTCACCCCTGCCCGTTCCCTCGCCAGCAGTCGAGAGGTAGGGTGGATGAGTTGGGGGCATCTAGCTCCCTCGTAATTATGCATGGATATGTTGTGCAAGCCAGCTCGAGAAAGATCATGGAAGCCGCCCACCCCTGTCTGATATAGGGTCTGGCCTCGGCCAGACACACACGAAAACCACCCATTCTGTATAAATTGGCAGGAAAAAGAAAAGAAAGAGAGATTGAAAAGGCCAGGCCAAGGGCCCGGCCAGATAAGAACTTTTCTGGGGCGAGAGTCGTGAAGAACCACGGTGGCTCCGCAGGATAGAAACAGGCCCCTATAAATGCTTGATTGACTCTGGCAGTCTTCGCCTCTCGTCCTCATCTCTTCGTCCGCAGCTTCCCTTCCCTGATACTACACGATCCTGGGCTTCTTTTCAGTCTCTATTACCACCTTTCGTTCTTTGATACAAACCCCTCTGGCTTCCTCAGGCCCTCCAAACAAGTCAATCCAACTCCACGAGAGCTCCTGTTAGAAAGGACAGACCTCCACCCTTCTGACTCAACCCAGGCCCTCCAACGTTCCTCTCGGAGGAGAAACGACTTTAGCTCGATCGATGTCTTGCTTTTCGTTTCGCCGGTCGCCCAAGAATAGGTCGGACGAGCGAAAGCGAAGTCAAAGAAAGATGAAAAGAAAGATGAAAAGAAAGATGAAAAGAAAGATGAAAAGAAAGATCAAAAGAAAGATCGAAAGAAAGATCAAAAGCAAGCGCCTCCCAAGAGGAAGTCTTTTAGCCAGGGGCGCGTTGACGCCAATGAGAAACACGAGTCAGCTTAATACCTAAGACCGCTCCGAGGATAACTCTACCGATGAGGCTCCGCAATAGCAAGCTTTCCCCGGTATCTAGCAATGTTGGTCCCCGTTTCTTCTTCTCTCCACTACGTCTTCCCTATATCTCTTCCACACGTCTTCTTATCGTCTGCTTCATGAGAGGATGAGAGATTCTCACATAGTCTACCTCGCACTATAGCATTTTAAAACAATACACGGACGGGAATACTTTTAAATTGTTCATGAGGCAAGGAGGAGACTAAACAATAATACTCAACGGAATGCTGGATCTTGGGAGAATTATACACCAAAAGGCGGTTGATATCTACGATACGATGTTGAAGAATGCATGCGTGCGCCGTTATGTTCTCTTTATATTTCAATGTTTTCCCTAGGTCCCGTTTTCTTCTTTCTTCTTTCCTTATTCTTTTAGACAAAAACAAGGGGGTTTTCTTTTCTCTTTTTCACGTTTCTCCTCTTAAAATACACGCAGCTCTTTTTCTTTTTCGTTTTTGTTTCAACCTCAAGATAATCCGGCACTCAAATAATATATCGCAATTTCTATGAACCACATCCTCCTTGATACAGAGTTCCGATATTTGAGAGGATAGTTCGACGTTTGCCGAAACTAAAAGTCGAGCTTCCACATGACATACATGTAGTATCTGTCGTTGGGCCACTTTGTATGTGTGCCACTACCGCGCGCCAATTATGAAAGCAGTAATCGAGAAGGATGGAGGAGTAAAAATGGACGGTTTTGGCTCCGTTACAATTGGAACTGAGGAACCGTAGCTGGCCACTCATAGAGCCTTTAGGTCGTCGACTTCAGATGCTGATGCCACCCCACCCCCTCTTCGAGAATGCTTCACAAGTGCCACGGGCCGGTGGCATCGTACCTGGGAGAAGGAGGGGCTATGAGCAGCAGATGGCATGCGAGTTCAAAGATCGAAGCAATAGCGATGCTCCATTTTGAAGTTGGGGATGGGCGGGACGGGCGGCGACTCTAGATGGCGACACCGAGAGCGAGAGCGATGGTGGGGTGGGCTTGGAATCTCGTGTGATTGGGCTAGGTGATCCTTCGGATGATGATCGAGATGCGCGTGTGTCGAAAGGCTTTCTATCTCGTTCTTTCGTCTAGAGAATTTTGCATTAGTCGGGGAACTCGAGTTGACCACGGATACAGATGCAATGGACCGCATTGTGTATATAAAGGCCACCATCGCCGCTGACATGAGAGGTGGATGTGATATTGGTAGATCTCGCCGCCAACGCTGAATCACCAATTCCATTCAGAAATTCTGGAGCTTACCTGCCTTGAGACAGAGGACCTAGGTTTCTGTCCCCAATACTCACCTCTATCTCACTCAGTCACTCAGTCACACACACACACACACACACTCTCTCTCTCTCTCTCTCTCCTTATATATATTCTTTCCATGATGGCCCACCCCCAGGATGTCGAACCCGGCACCATGCCTGACACGCCAGTAATTGCGTCAACGATAACCACGGAAGAAATGTGGGAGTGGTACCGAGGAAGTACGTTTTCAGTTCGGCAGCCATCCTCACCGGCGTATTTCCCCAAGCTAAACGAACTAATGATGTGGTAAAATATAGGCAAGAGAGGAGCCCCTAGCCTGGCAATCGACATGGCGCTTGATAGGACTTTGAGTGGGCAGTTCATTTTCAACTTCGCAGCGATTGACTTGTGCTTTTATACCAGCAAAAGAGGTTCGAGACTCTTGAGGCCATAGTTCTCGTAGGCTTACTAGACCAACCTGTGTCTTCCTTTGGGAAGGAACGCAATGAAGACATGGAGAATCTCTGCAATATGAACTCGAGGAGGTGTGAGTACCGCAAGCGTACCCGATTACCTTACAGCGTATCCTTCTCTGTAGACCACATGGGGAGGATGGAACGCTGCAAAGTTGAAACGAGATAGATCGTAATTTGCTGACTCGCAGGCCGTGTGATAGTACAGGACTCCTTTTTGCCTCGCATTTACACGACCAGAGAATGCCTTCCAAAAAGAACGCGGCTCGATATGACAGGGTATGTTCTTCGCATGCTGGTACCGTCCTTAGATCCCGTTTCGAGGGGCGGCCAGAGATGCGCCGAGAGCTGTACAGAGGAAGTTTCGTCGGGGAGGTCGTGAAATGGATGCTCAATCACGGCATGGGGCGAGCATTTGTGAGTCTATCCAGCCGTCCTTTTGCATCGGGAAGGCTAACCCAGGCGTCCTTGTTTCATAGTTCTGGTTGGAGCACACCGAAGTGGATGGAGTCGGCTGGACCCAAACAGTGTCGACCCTCGACAAAACAGAATTCATCGCGGCCACGGTGATGCTGATCGGGATCATGGCAATCTGTTTCGCCCCATTCTGCCTTGTGAGTTTTGGAGTCGGCCACGACAAGGTGTTTACCGGCGTAGCCCTCGCGATCTGTGGCATCGTTGTGGCTACCTTTTTGTATGGAGGCCAGGTGGGAGTAGGTAGCGTCATCATCGGCTTGACCTATATGACCGTCCTCTTCTCATCCATCTCGGAGCGGCTCATTGGCACTTCTAGCTAAGGGCGTAGTGTTTGGAGAGAGTGCTCGCCTAAGCTGGGTAGCGGGTGTTGGGTGGAGTGCAAGGTTCCATTTGGTGGGAAGGCTTCAGGGTCGGGGCCTGAGTAGGAGCTGCTGGGCTGTATCTTTCGGGTTCGGGGTTCGAATCGCTGACCCTAGTTCTGGCTTTACAGTCCATTCATGGACTTGTTGTTGTGTTGATTCGTTCGTGTGGAGTCTTGAAGAGGTACGTTCCGGTCCGTAGGAGAGGGAGACTAGGCGAGAGTGTCATTGAAGGAAGGAGAAAAGAAACCAAATTATCTTTGGACGAGGGCTCGCCACTTTACTCGGTAGTTTCGCTAGTATTCCTTCCGGAGAACAGTAGGAGCATCGGGATCTTCAAAGGAGAAGGAGAAGGAGAAATACAAGTCTGTTGTGACCATCCAAAGAATGTCAGGAGGAGAAGAGACGGCTACTTTACTTGATTTATCTAGTGTAGGGTAGGGTGAAACGATGTCGAGACTTCGGACTGAACCTCGGGATGGGTAGATGTTGATGTCTGGTGCTTGTCTGTCAAGAAGGAACATCTGCCCTCTACTTATTATCCAAGCACGAGCTGACAGTATCTCTAATGTTGTCTTGTTGTACCGAAGTAGGGAACCTGGGAAGGCTCGACCGGGGGATGGGCGGGAACCCGCTTACAGACACCTTGGACAAGGGATGGGAACATAGGGTAAGCGCGGCTCAAGAGTGACATGCGGGCTTCAATGTTCACTGTTAAACATCCACATAGGGAAATTTCCCCCTCCAGACCGGGATTAGCTGTGGGTCCCTGCCTAATCTAACCTCAGTGCGTCTGAATGATTTTCTTGCCGTCCATTTCCTTCCCCCACCGCACGAAACGCTGCCTTGTCATCTCTCGTCAACCAACTGTTCTTTTAAGATAACCCAAGATACGACACTGGCCCGAGCGAACTTGTCATGCAATGGAGGGGTTGTTCGCGTCCTGATTGTCGGCGTGAGTGGACGAACAGTTCCTGCACGACATCCGTTCTGCGCATGGGGAATGTCGGTGAGCACCGCGCGCCCTCACCGGACTTTGGCTGCACACCGCCCACGCCTTTGAAATTCTTCTTCGGAAAAAAGACGCAGACAAAAAGAGAATTCCGACATATATGCTCGAACTCATGCCAAACCTAATCCTACTGAACTTCCGAGGGATTCGCCATAACGCGTGGTTGCCACGCCTCCCATCATATTGACATCGACATGGAGCTGACCATCGCGACATGTCCCAGATCCTGCCGAGTCGTCGAACCCCGTCTGCCAGGCACCGCAGGCCCGCCATCGGCGAAGACGCACGCGGTGAGCAAGCTCCTGCTTTTGATCGATGCAGGAAACCATGATCAGATCTGACCGGGTTCAGGCCTCGGGCCACATGCAAGTCAACATGAACTGTGGCTCCTGCCGTGAGTAACGCTGTGAGCTACCGTGGACCCGTCGCTCCACCAATGGTTTAGCGAGTGCCGGCATGAAATAAGTGTGTCCGTCGGCATCCTCATCCGTGTCTCGACGACCGTTTCCCGAGCCCGAGCACTGAACAGCGCACGTCGAATTAAGAGCGCCGTCGTGAAGATATCAAATCAGGACCCTGAACCCCTGACTGATCTTGGGTTCCTGGACATTTAAACCTGCCTTCGCTGTCAAGTGGGTATTGGTAGTCAGAGCTTGTTTCGGTTGGTTCAGACTTGAGATGATTTGTGGGAGCATCCAAGCTGATTGATGCAACCAACGAGTCGGCCCCCACACCTGAGGCGTGTCCAAGACTGGCCAGACAGATGGTCAGAAGTAAAGCATTCATGGTATCTATTAGTGAGAACCAAGGCTTTTTTCAGTGACGATACCACGCAAGACCTTGAAAAACACGCTCGCTGCACTGGGAGATTCCTTTTTCCTCTACGTGCAGGCTTGAGCGACGAAGCCTCTTCGAAGAGGTAGCATGCACAAAGCTGGCTCGAGCTACCGCGAATCGCCAACCACGACCTGAGCCCAGTGTATTGATAGCCCATTGATGAGTGGAAATACCAGTGGCCAGGCTTGTTAACGAAAAAAAAAAAAGCCTGTTTTATCAAGATAGCGGTGAAGCCATTCTTGAAACGCCTTGTTTGGTGGAATCGATATCAAAATCGTCCTATCGCTGTTTTCAGCCTGTGACGATTGCCTCATTCAGTTAAGAGGGATTGCATCTTCCGCCTTGCTGCTAAACCAAGGCCCCAATCTCATCACCGTGTCTAGGTTTGAGGAGGGGTTTGAGTTGAATCATTCATATCGGAGAGCTTGTCGTTGTCGATTTCTCAAAGTACTCACCAAGTATTCAGAGGTAGCTGCTAATGCCGGGCGGAAGCATCTACCTCAGACACGTTCGGTAATCTCTTGGTTGATTTTAGCAGTTGGTTAGAACCAACAGTTCTCGACACTTACCCCACAACCACCCTCCCTTAGGACCTGTTTATTACGGATAACTGCGGCCCGCTTTGCCATCCCGCACGTCCTGCACATCTGCCCTGCTCTCTCATTCGGCTCGAGGCATTTGGGCTGCGATGGCCGCGCCCCAAAAGGGCAAGAAAAATGAGATACTCACATACGCATCCGCTAAAGGGGGCGTGATTGTGCCATACCTTGACTCTCAACTCCGCAGACAAAAGAGCAGGGCGTGCCAATTAGTTTGTGTTCCATAGAGCGGTGAGGACTCCTAACGAATGGGCGATAGCCTCCTAGTTCTTTCACCATCTTCTGCCTCGTTCTGAAATCTCACGATCCTCCGTCCCGCTCAAGGCCAAGGCCGGAGGATGGTAATGCTCTACCTTGAGCCCAATCACCACCTCATGGCAGCACACCCACTCGCGACGATGGGTGATAGCTGGCAGAGCGGTGAACAGCGACAACGCGTGAAAGGCATCGACCAGGCTCCCTTGAGAGTACATCCTGCTTCCAAATTACAAGACGTGTCGAGAAGGTATTTGCAGAGCCTGAAGCAGTCGCGGACTCACATCTCGGAGGTAAAAGAATGCCAGCTCGAGGGCCCGCCCGGAGGTAGAAAGAGCTAAAGGAGAAGAGAAGGCTATGAGGCAGTGCACGCATGGACAAGTATATCCTCTCATCCATATCTTGAGAATATGAATGAGGGGGTGTGGAAAGAGGGCATGGCACCTAAAACGGTGGGCGGAAAATGTCACCGTGTTAGAGCCGAGTCAGCGGCAGAGATGGCGGCACCAGCACACGAAGCGCAAAGAGGCCAGGCCGCAGCATCAATCGAGGACCCTCGGTAACCGCGGTTGGCGCCGGGAAAGGGCCTTTCCATATCAACGTTGCTGGCCAGATACTTATGTTGATGGCACCATTCTCTGTCATGGGCAGCTGGTCTTTATGCTACTGCAAGGGAATGCATAGCGCTTGCCAAGTTTACGCATGATACCTTGGATGTTTCTTGCCCTTAGGTTTGAAGTCGACTCTCAGCTTTGTAGTAGCGAAGAAGCAACTCATGTGGATTGCCGGTGGCTGATGCCATCAACGCCTTCAGGGTTTCGTGGGCTGAGGGGGCCAACCATATCACAGTCCCCGCGGCAGACGACGATCTCAACTATTGATCAAACATGGAAATAAAGCCGATAATGTGAATCGACTACGTTTTCACAAGCGATAAAGAGCGAGGGCCTGCATATGCGTGGCAAACCTGTCTCTCAGGATCGATGCCTCTGATGGGTAATACAGAGGAAACCAGTGCGGGAAATAAGCAACTCCAGGGAAGGTGGAGAGCTGAGGGAGCTGAAAGGAGTACATCGAGGGACAAGTGAGGGGTAGGACGACTCTCCTTTTTCCGTCGAAGAGAATCCTGGCGGACTCCCACGCTTAGAATTTCACGAAAAACGAACGAGAGTGAGTCTTGGAAATGATGTGGCCTTTTCTATCTCTGGATACTCTCTGTCTCCTCGATGTCGTTTCTTCGGCCGAGATCTGGTTCGTGATAAATCTAACAGCATAAGCGACGAACCATCCCTGTGCTCGGCAGATATTTCTGCTAGCAATTGGCCTGGCCTCGAGCGAAATTTGCTAACAGCCGGCCTCTTGAACAAACTATTGCTGCGTCCCTTCACTACTAACCCCATTTCGCATTAGTCAAGTATCACTCTTCTCTTAATTTTCGGGAACCCCAGCCGGCGTCCTCACGCCTAGGTAGGAGAACCTTCAAGTTCTAATGGGCTCGCTCCGGAAAGAAGAAAAACAACCGGCCGGTGTCCTGGGAGCCTCTGGATTAGAAGCGGGACGAGATTGGCTTCACCCCGCCCTCTGATTCGGCAGCACCGTCCAATTGGCTAGCCCACAACGGCCCCCGCGATTACAGCACCGCCCCACAGTTGTCAACTTTCAAATAACATTGATCGTGCCCTAATAACCGGACCCCGAATCTGAAATCAATCTATTCAAGATTTGTCTCGCAACCAAGACGGCAACGGAGCGGAGGACTGCAGTGACATGTAACGACGAGCGACCCACTTTCGAACGACATGTCTTCTGCTTAGCCTCATCTTCTTGGCCAACCCACAACAGCGCAGTCTCGCTTTGAAAGGCTCATTCGTCATCCATGAATGCCACATTATGAACAGGCGCACTGCACTGCTTTTCATGTTCTTTCTTCCCCTCCCTTACACTCAGAAGCAAAATGCCAGATGATTCTTGACGGTCCTCAGCAGAGTCACTAAATGATGCTTGTATGCTGAGCCGGCACGGCCTGCCCTGAGGGTGCACGTGCAGCCCCTGGAAACTTCCAGTGCCCCTGAAACGATCGAGCATAGGGGTCAACTCGTCAATCATCACAATGATGAACGAATTTCAGGACACACCGCCTACATGTAGTAGTACATGTAGCCTCCTACTTACCGGTCTCGGATGTGTCGGCATCCACCTCGCTTCGGTGTGATCTGTCGCGAGCCGTCGATATCGTTTGCAGCTGCTACGAATGAAGC